CCCCCCTGTAGTCCCATAACTTGGGGCTCTCATCGCCTGGCCAGCAGGGGCTCCCCCGTCCCAGACAGAGCTCGGGGGGGGCATTCGCCATCTGCTGAGTTCGGGGACCCCCTTGGGAGCCTGGGGCAGGAGCTGGGAAGCCCAGGGGCTGTGTCTTACCCTGCACTCTCCTCTCCCCTCAGGGGACACCTCGGTCCTCGCCGGCCTGTACGGCCCCGCGGAGGTGAAAGTCAGCAAGGAGCTGTATGACAAGGCCACTGTGGAAGTGCTGCTCAAACCCAAAGTGGGGCTCCCGGGTAAGCGACGGCGGAGCCGTGAGCGCCCCCCGTGGGCGTTGTCTGTGGCAAAGGGGGGCGCTGGCCGGGGTTGGGGGGGGCCCTCACGGGCAGCAGCCAGGATTACACCTGGAACAAAAGCTTGGAGGCTATTTAAAAACAAAGCCAATCGCTGTATCCTTCAACCTCCGCCTGCCCCGCTTACTCGATGTTTAAAATGAACCCTACAATAACAAGAGATTGTTATTAGCATGCTGAGTACGGGGCTCGCCAGCAACCCTACCATAACAATCTCCCTGCCGTGACAAAGCAGCATAGAGATCTTGGGTCTGGCGGGGCAATTCTGCCACGATCCGATACCCCCCCGGCACGTCCGGCCCCAGCTTCCGTGAGCTCCGATCGCCCGGTGCGGCCATGCGGCCCCCGTTGAGACCCCGTGAGGGGAGATGGCTGGGCGTGCCCTCGTCCCTGAGCCCAGCGTGGGGGCGGTTGGAGCCCGTCGCCCTCTGGGATTCGGATCACGGGGCTGCAGCTCGGGTCGTGCCGTCTCCACGGCGGACGGAGGGTTGGACGGGCCTTGGGTCGAGTCCCTGCAGGTCGGTGCCGCGTGTGTGCAGTGGGGTAACAGTCCTGCCCTGCGCTGTGTGTGTGTAAATCCACTGACGATTGTGAGGTGCTGCCCTGCTCTGAGGATGGCGGCCAGATAAGAGCCATGGGTGGATGGGGAGACACGTGCAGTGGGGGGAATGAATGGAGGGATATGTGCAGGCGGGTGTGGAGGGACGGACGAAGAGGGGGTGTGGCTGGACAGACAGACAGAGAATAGCTTGACATAAAGCCATGTAACCTCCTAAACACTCCCCTCCCGGCTGGATGAAGTTTCCCTGTTGTGTCACAGCCGTGGCGGTGTTAACCCCGGGCCGGGCTCTCCCCTGCAGCGGGGCCCCCCGGACCCCAGCTCCACGCACGGTTCGCATCTCTCCCGGGTTCTGGATCTCGATTCCCGGGGGCGCTGCCGCAGCAAATAATGAAATTAAGAACAAAGGGAGGGTTTTCCTCTGCTGAAATGGTGACGGTTCTCAGCTTTGTCGCAGTGACGCTTGCTGGAGAAACAGCCTTGTGCAGCCAGAGCCGCCCGGCAGGCGTGGGGTCGGGCGGACTGTCGCCGGGGCAGGACTCTCTCTCAGTAGAGGAGATGGAGGGAGGAGAATTCTCCCTCACTTTTCAGCTGGGGAGACTGAGGCGAGCAGTGGGCGCCGGGTGGGGCCCGGCAGGCGAGGGGCACTGATCTCAGCTGGGGGGCTTTGGGGCAGTGCCTGGCACGCCGGGGGTACAGTCTGCGTTGGGAAGTCTGTGCGCTGGCGTCCTACAGGCAGACGGCTCATGGGGGAGAGCGCGGCGCCGAAGAGCAGCTGGTCTTGTGGGGGCAGAGGGTTGCTGGGGGGTTTGTCCAGCTCCCGGCTCAGCCCGGCCCCCGTCTCTCCTTCCCCCAGGTGTCTTCGAGAAGAACCGGGAGCAGCTGATCAGGAAGACGTGTGAGGCGGTTATCCTGGGCGCCCTGCACCCCCGAACCTCCATCTCCATCGTGCTGCAGGTGATCAGCGACGCGGGCGCCGTATCCTTCACCAGCAGCACTCTCCAGTGGGGGCCCCCCTGCTCCTCCGGCCCGAGCCCGACAGAACTACTGCTTGTCGCCTCTAGGGGGCAGCAGCGACTGTCCTGGGCATTGGTCTCCTGTCGGGCACTGGGCTGGGGCTGCCTGCTCGACTGAACCCACCGGGGGGGGATGGCAGCCTGGGGTGTCCCCCCCCCCCC